TGAGTTGCTTATAAAAAAATAGTTGCTAAATACAGATGAAGATTGAAGTTAAAAAAATATTTTATAATTGTAACCAAGTACAAATCAGCTTATACTTATATAGAAACCTCTTTAAAATAAATCACTTTTTTAAAATCATTTTTTGTCTAAACAAAGGACACATATATATTCATACATTATTTTCTTTTTTATCTGGCTTTTAGATATGTTTATTTAAATTTAAAAGAAGTGTTTTTAGATAAGTATTTCTAAAAAAATATTAATTCTTTAAGAAGCAGATAGAAGTTTCTTCTAAAGAGAAGTAGAAATTAAAATTGTTTATTAAGTTTAAACAAACACATAAAAAAACAATATTTATTTTATTTAAAAAAAGCACTTTATATATATATATATATATATATATATATGTATATATATATATATATAAACTTAAACAAACAAACCCTTTATCTTATTTTTTTTAATATTATTTCTCTTGATTTTTCATCATATCATTTATCATTTTTTTTTAATTTTTTTTATCTCTCTTTCGTCTACTCATACACCCTAAAAATAAGGCGTATAACGATTTTTTGCCTCATGATTTTCATAGCAAGATTTTATAACCACGTGAAGGCACTTATTCTTATTTTGCATGTCAAAGGCAACATGCATATTTGGATATTCAATTAACCTTTGGAAAGAAAGAAGCCTACCACTAAGATCATATATTGAATTTCAATGTTAGATATACAATTATATTATATTTAAGCAGAATCTTAAAAAAAAAAAAAAACTAAAATAGTTATTAGTTCAAATGAGTTAAAATTTATCATAATCAATGTTCTTTATAATATTATTCTTATGACATTATCTATCCAACATGTGACAATGAATATAAATAAAAAATTACATGATTAAAACTTATAATACTACTTCTCATTCTTCAAAATATACGCATAAAAAGTAAAAGTGAGAAGTGTAAAAAGAAAAATTGACAGAACCTTTCTTTTAAAACTTAACCCTCATGTAACCTTTTAATAAAATATTTTAACAATAGTTCTCTTTTTCTCTCCTCAAATATTAAAACTTATTAATAAATAATATATCAAATAAACATATTTTTTCAATCCTATTATAAATAAAATAAAATATATAAACAATTATCATAAAACACATATTTTTCAAAATGCATTTAATTACATAAATAATTAAAACATATATTTTCTCCAAATTCTTTCTAGAAAAAAATAACTTCACAAATATTCTTTATTAATAAAACACTCATAATTATTAAAAATTTCTAAAATATTTTATAAAATTCTCTTTAATCAATCAAAATATATTTTTTAATAATTTTAGAAAATTTGAGATGTTATAATTTTATCAAATATTTTACTCTTTTCTCCCAGTTTTTATTTTTATTGCATTAAAATTATATAAAATTACTGTATAAATACTATTTTTCTTTTGAAATTTGAAAGATGGTCCATACCCCATATATATATAGTCGAGACACCTGGTACAAGTAGAATGCCTTAATAAACTTGGCTTCCACGTTCCACCAACCTATTATGTGTCGGCAAATGCAAAGCATTCACGTAAAATCAGTGATGAATGTGGTTTGACCAAGAAAAGTTTATGCACATAAGCAATACGAAAACACGTACGTAGATGTAGTCATCTTCGAATAGAAAACATGTCTGACCGACCTCTACCTTCTGTACCTTTCCCCGTTCAAAAAGCAACCCTGAAAACTAAAGATGCATGGGCAAAAACAACACATTCATGTTCATTCTTGTCGTGTATCCCTCGAATATTTGAACAACACAATCAATGAACAAATGGAGTTGTTTCAGCTTGCCATGGTCAAAAGCACTCCCTCTGCAAAGCTGCCTTTGATGGCCTCTGCTTAGAGTTGCCCTTTGTGCCAGTATCATCGTCACATGTCACAGCTTTAGCCTTTCCATGCCACCAAAATCTCATTTCGCCATACAAGCTAAAAGTATTTTTGAAACTTTTTTTATTAAAAACAAATTTTTATTTTTAATATAAAGAAATTCTCAAAAATTCTTTTAAATTTATATTTAAATATTTCATAATTCTCTTTAAGATCTTATGACCTATAACTAGATGAATAAATACAATTGAGTTAAACTACTCAACGAATAAGTTTATCCATAACTTTATGGATAGAAAAATATTAGGTGGTTCAATATTTCCGTAATCTCAATTATTTTTACATGACACATAATTAAATATTATTAACTATTTTTTATAAATTGAAAATTTTAAATTTATGTCATACAGAAATTAACCAATACCATAGTTATACAATATTATAGAACTACCTTGTAATTTCTTGGATGGATGAGTCATCGGAACTACCTAATAATTTCTGGGATGGATGAGTCCTGTTAACAATAGTATGCAGTTCCATCTACTATTTACATCAGACTGCTTGGTAATATTGGGAGGTCTCACTTAGTGTCACACTGATAAAAAAGCCTAGCCTTACTCCTCTAAATCTAATCACATGGATCAAATAGTTAGTTACTTAATTCTCATGTAATACACATCAATATAAATAGCTAAACAGTCCATAGATGAAAGCGGATATTGCAATAATATTCTTTCTGAGCTATATATCTCAGTTTTCTCCATTTTCTCTGATCTGTTAGAGTACACAGAAGTAAGGTTAGGTATATATAGTGCTATATTGCATATTTGTTTGAAGACTCACCCAAAAGTATACAAGTTGTCTAGCTTAGTTTTAATTTGCCCAATTAGATCATGGAAACTTACAACTTACAAGTCCATTTGGGTCCAGACCACAGTGCATTTCTTTTAATAATAAGAAAAAGGACATTTATTAAAAGGGTTCTCTAATCCATTACAAAATCTGGGTGTACATTGATCTGAAATATAATGAATACACCGTGGCCACAGATTGATTTTCTTGCCCATAACATCAGGCATTACAAAATCAATAGAATTGAAATTCAGTGATTTCATAACCACAAGGACAGAAAAATAGAATCCTCGTAATCATATGGCAAAGTTAGTAGATGATTGCTATTGAGTATTGACAAACCAAGTTCTCACTTTTCACAATAAGCTTTCCCGTATTTGAAAAAAGTATTAATATAAAACTAACCTACTTTAGCCAACTGTGTTGTAATGGTCTATAATTCCCCAAAACAACATTAAATGTTCTTTTGAAACAATAATAGAAGCATCAGCAAAGTCGCTATATTCATGCAGACAGAGCTTTTTGTAACATCAACTTCAACATGAAAATTAAACACTGCTACATAGTATTGTCATTTGTATGTAACATTCAACATCTACATATATAAAAGCCTTCTCTTTACCTTTCTCTACTATTTATGGTCTTGTGGTACAACTGTGATAAGCTAGTTTAGGCTACATCATACAAGAAAATATACTCTATGACAATGAACTTCTTATGACGCTGATCTTACTACTACAGACAACACAGCAAAAGCCTAGAACATGAGTAAAAGGACTCTTCACAAGGAAAAAAAGAAAAACAGAAAAGCTATTCATCCTTGACAATTTACGTTATAAATGAGAGGCAAACATTTTAATCGCAAGTATAAAAGGTTTCTTGACCTTTGGGAGTTAATTTTGGACAGTTGTACTTTGTACATATAACTTCAATGTTAAAATCTCTTCAATTTGTCTTCACGTTCATTGAGCACTTTTGCATCAAAACTTAATGTCAGATCAAGAAGCATCTGATTTGACGTCGGAGTACATGTATCCGCAATTGACTTTCTATCTATGAATGAACATGTCATTGGCAATTGAACGTCCCGGTTACACCTGAAGCAAGTCTTCATTAACTTTAAAATATATTAAATGTCAATAATAGTAATAAGTTGTACAAAAGAAGGAAAAAAAAACACTGCATGATGGCTTGAGTTTTGACTTCGTAGGTTTTGTAAATAAGACTATGACAACCAAAATGATTCCTACTATATGTTCCTATAGCGTACAGTGTGACAGCACGGCTGGCATGTTTCCTTGCCTGTATCAAAAAGGTAAGGACACATTACAAGTGAGTCAGATGTACATGTGGCAGTGAGTAGACCACACCATATATTTATATCCAAGTAACAAGACCCCAGTTTTAATTGGAGATATTAGAGACAAAGAAGAAATTATAAAGAAAAAAAGCACCATCCTCACCAGAGTTCTTAAGTTATTAACAACATGGATGCACCTAAAACAACTAACTCAGTTGTAACAAGTTTTGTTTTTTAATCATAGTATTAATATGAAGTATCTATTATTAGAAATAGTGTCTAATCTCTGTAAATAAAAAAAAAACAGTAACTCAGCTCTAACAACTAGCATATGCTGAATTTTTAGCATTTCTTTTGGTTGAAATAATTTAGTAGAGAATATAACATAAAAGCATAACAAATTTTAATTAAGTTGTATCAAACTCTTAGAAGCATATAACAGGAATGCTAATTTCAGCCTTCTTGGAAAAATTATAATAATTAATTAATTGAAGTCAGAGGCTGAAAATTAAGGGAGGCTTACTTTGAATTTGCCTAAAATATCATAATATCATCGGAACAAATAACAATTGGAATTGGAGTTATGTTTTGTGTAATTGTGTTCGTGTTTTTCTTTTTGGTCCAGGAAGGTAGGGACAATTGGTATTGATAGGGAGCCCAATCCAAGTCAACAAAAGTTACTATTGGGCCAAAATAAGCCCAAATCCAATTATTGTCTAATACTTATCAATAGCCTTCATAGAAACGGCGCCGTTTGTCCAGATGTGAACGGGGTTGGAAACGTGTCGTTTTGAACGGGTTCAGTAGCGAGTACGGCATTTTTTT